AAATGGAAAGTTCAAGCTATTTCTCTGTCTGTGGACAGAAACTATGATCAAGGTCCAAAAATAATGTTCTTTGCCACTGGCTCACTTGGGCAAGTGGTTCTGGGGCGTTGGCCCCCAGTGATTTTCTTTGAGAGGATTAATACAGCTAACAACCTCATTTTGTTCACTCTTAAAAGCCAACATACTCCTCGTTCAGCAGCACTCAGACGGTATGAAAAACAGAAGGCCTGATTTACTTGTGTGTAATAGTGTGAATTTGAGGGACTGGCATTCACGAGCAAATAGTTTAAAATATGTTGAGTAACACTTGTGTGGTCAGCTGACCACTGAGCTGACCTGCCTGACCCTTACACCACATGGCCTGCCTCACGATACTCACTCACATTTGTTTCGGCTTGACAATCAATGTCTAGAGCTCCGAGCTCTGGAACGGATAAGACGTGCATGGAAGTGCTCCCGCTCCATGGAGCTGTATTCAGTGAATACACTGTGACCAAATGTCAGTATGTGATGAAAAGTGTGACGAAATGTGTGTGTGAGTGTGTATGTGTGTGTTCTTATGTAGGCAACAGGCCCATCTGTTGATGTTTTTCTTCAGGGTATACATACCTTTCTTTAGTGTGTCTGACAGATTTATACACACATACTAACAGATAGATGCCATTTGGTCATTTAGTGCATACTTGTAAACAGTGCTGCTGTCAAAATAACATCAACATCTGTGTATGTAATAATCTGTCACCACAAAGAGTTTTTTCACTTAATTTATGAAACACAGGAAAACAGGTGTGTGAATGTTAGTCACATCACCGCACATACCAGAGCTCACAGTAGATCTTCAACTCATTTGTATGGTATTGACGTGAGCCCGAAGATCACCTCACTACTGTGAAAACCTGTATGTTTTTCATACTGTATGAGTATACTTAAAACATTTAAAATCTTTCAACTGAGACAGTCAGCAGGACCAGTGTGGTGTTTCTCTACCAGCTGAAAAAAATGGCCTTCAGATTCCACTTAAAACACATAAAACACCCCTTTCTGCACCGCTGCAGTGTGTATTCTTCACGTCGCCTTTCACCCCGCGCTTCCTCCTCTCCATACCTCTACGAGACATAGGAAAAGAGTTGGCAGCCGGAGCTGGTTGCTCAGCCCCCGAGGGAAGAGTTTTATTTCAGCTTCAGGGACTTGGGTCACTGAATAGAGTCTGGACCCTGTGTTTCTGCTCTCCTTCCTCATCATCCCACCCTCACTCTACGCTTTGCCCTCCCCTGCCCCTCCTTTGTGCCCTAATGCTTTGCAGATGCCTCCAAAACCATACCTCTAAAAATAAAGCCAACAATATCCAGCTGCACTCCCACTGGCATGCCGTAATGTAATGTTAAATGTTAGCTGCGTTGCGAACAAGCTAAACATCTGTTGTTGTTTTTTTTAACTTTGTTCCAGAAATAATGTCTCTTCTTGCTCAAAACTAAGTTCACTTTGGTGCTAATTAGCTGCATGGCTAATGTGTGTTGACTAACATTCAACCTCCTGAGCTGTTTTTGTTGGGCTCATGGTTGGGAGTCATGCAGGCATGTTGTTCTAAAGCCCTTTGTGAATGCTTAATGCTAATAACCACCCACACGTGATACAAGCTAACCTCTACTTCGACCTGCTTTCCATGACAACAGTAAAAGCACATGCTATTGATCCAATCAGCAGTCACTTTATGTGTCGGGATTAACCGCTGTATTTACACTGCGCCTGATCATTTATCAAGAACAATTAACCCCAGAGAATCAAATGCAGCACCGCGTCAGTTTAGGCCTTCATTTAAAGGCTGAGTGATTTGTGTAGACCTGTACAGTTGGACCAGAAACTGCTTATGCCACTACTTTTTTCTTGATTGGGACTTGTTTATAGAGCTTCGAGGTTGTGTTTGTCTTTCAAACCATGCACAGCATGAATAGCTTAACAGGCTCCCTGGGAGTTTGCTACAGCAAAGTGCTTTTCATGCTGCTGCTGTTTTCCACCAAACAAAACTCATTCATTGGCCCCTGTCCTCACCTCCTTGATAAGTTACAACCAACCATTTCCAGGTCCCACACTTACACCTATTGTATTGTCACCCTGCGAGGTCATTTACAGTTAGCTTGTTCAATTAACTCAGTAGGCATCCAGCATGCATATAAAATATGTCATGTAAATATACTGTAACTTGAGCAGGCTTTTCCCTTTATTCATAACAGATGTGCTACCGTACATTTCTGTACCGCTGAAAAAACAAATACAAAGTAAATGGAGTGAAAAATAAATGAAATGTTACATTATTTCATCACTGTCCTTCTAAGCATTTATTAGTGTTCATGACCCAGGCAGGAATCCGGGTTCATAAAGGGTCAAATAATAATAAACCAGATGACCTGAATCCCTACTGCCCTGTTAAGTCCTACAAGGCTGGACCAGAACAAAAACATATAAACGCTACAGGTTCATGTTTCTTATGTTGGGAAATTAAATTAATTATCAGGAAAAGTGGAAATTAATAGGAGTTTTTTCTGTTAATGTAAGCTTCTGTGACAGAGGAGCCAGTATGTTCCAATGTTAGACATCCAATTTTCAAAAGAAGTATTTTGTGACACTAAAGTCAAAACTACCTCAGAATGAAATTGAAGGTATGAGTTAATTTTAGACCATAGCTTTATATTTCACAATGTGTTTGAGCTAGAACACAGCAGTTAACATTCCCTGGAAATGTAAAACATTCCGCTGTGCCCGAACAGAGGATATCAGCATCTTTAGTGCCACTGCGGCAAGCCTAGAGCGAAAAGGGCAAACATCCTGGCAAGTATCCTGCCAACTCTGAGGCTCGGTCTGTCCACAGCATACTTTCCACTGAGACATATCCAGACACTCTGCAGTACAACTCATTCAAAGTCATTGGCCATTGACTTGTTATCCGTTGCCCATGTATTTGACGTTGTGCATCCAACATAACTCAAGACGGATGGGATGAGGCGAAGGGGTCAAGTCCCGCTCTCTCTGTGTCCCACTTTGGTGACAATGAAGCATATTCTGGTTGCTAGCACACAGTGATGTTGGTGAAGAGGTCCGTATAAAGGCTTTATTCATCTGCTGTGGCCAGTCACAAAGAGACAGATACATCAGAGCACAGGGGAATGGATGAAGGGATAGAGAAAAAGAGAGCTAGGACAGGCATAGGGACACTAAAGAATCCAGAGCTGTTGTATCTGAAATAAGACATGGCCTTTGCTCATGCATGTGTGCTGTCTTGTCTGTCTCCTTGTAGAGCACTTGTGTATCTGTGTGTGTCCATGTGCACGGCCAGCGAACATGTCGGTGTGGCTCTCTATTAGCTTGAGTGCGGTCACAGCAAGAGCCAAGAGGAGGTTTTCATTAACCTCATGCAGCGAGAGGGCACTACCTTGACTGCAGGCTACGCTGCCCTGAGCAGTTTCTGCTCTCCTGGCACTGCGGTATAATCTTTCGAACCTGACAAGATGAGAGGTCCCTCATTAATGAAATGGACTGTTTCACAGGGCCAGCAAGGTCAACTGTCCCAATCAAGGATTCTCTCGCAGCGTTGTAGATGATCCTGAACCATATGCCTTTTCCACTGCATGCTACGGCTCGACTAGACACACGTACTATGCTACACTACCAATCAATAGTCTGCAGAGTTTTCATGTCACCTTTTATTTAGTATCGGCTCAGGTTGCTTGGAACGTAGACCGAGGTGGTTCCCAAAAATGCCACAGGTACTGTTCACAATGGAAAACCAAAAAAGTCAAGTCGAGCCGTACCATGCGGTGGAAAAAGGGGCTTCATAGGAAAATCCATGATCAATTAAACACACTGCCTGTTTGCCGTGGATGTTAAGTCAGTGAACATGTGTCCACAATGTGCCTACATACACCCACTTATCTCACACACATTCCTCTGTTATCCTGAGATGTACTGACAGACATCAGCTGCAATCTGGTACTTCTCCTGAAATGAGAGTCATGCTGTTGTCAGTCATCCACAAACCACTTCACCCTCTGGTCTCCTTCTTGGGGTTGATGTCAGCACCTATATGGTGGTTGTTTTTAAATGAAAGAGGGTATTTCACAGGGGAGAGAGGGTTAGTGGCATTCAGCTCTTCACTACAGCACCGTGCTTTAGTTTTATTGCCCTGCCTGTGTCTGATTTTGCACTGTGCTGCAGCATGATGACGTGGCTAAATTTGAGGTTAGATGAGGGTTCTGATTAGCCCATGGGAAAGCTGAAAGGACACATTGATCCTAAAACATATGATAGGAGGAAGGAAGGGAGGCAGAATGGGGAGTGACGATGGACAGATTGTCAGGTCTGTGTTTCTATAAATAGCACGCTCTGTCTTCACCTGATCTCTCCCTCCGTCTATCTTTTTTAACCCAATTGCCACGCTGCCTGAGTCCAGAAGTCACTATTGACAAGGGCAGTAAAGCAGACATGCACAGCAAACACAGCAAACCTGACACACAAGCGCAACTCTGTGTCACCCCCCCCCACCATATATAGCTTAGGCTTGTGGCATAATCCCATTAGAATCCATTAAGCAAGGCATCTTAAACTGATCCTCCTTCTTTTATATGTGGGGAGAGGTCGCTCTCCTCTCTGACAGGACGAAGAAGGGAGGGAGGGAGGAAGAGAAGGAGTATAGGAAGAGGATGGTGGTGCCGCTTTGGAGTCACATGACTAATTTGTGTCTGTTGCAGGGAGTACGGGCAGCTGGCCAAAGTCATCCCTCCCTCTCTCTCTCCATCCTTCACTCTCTGTCTTTCTCTCCCCCTCAAACACATGCATTCTTAGTGTGCTAAAGCCTATTGAATGCATATGTTTGTGTGTGAGTGCAGTTGCCAGTTCTTGCCATTTAGGAGTGTCAGAATCCATATATGGTGACTGCATGCTTTGTTGTTGACTGAGCGGCATCTGCTGTCACTAACCATGTCCCTCTTGTGTTGCTTCTCCCTCAGGGACTATGGCTCCAAGCGCAAGTCGGGTAAGTCACCTGTTTTCCTTAACTATCCTTCCCTAAAGCTAACTTCACCCTCCCTTCTCTTTCAACTTGTTGCTCCTAATAGAACCGCTCCGTAAGATCCAAGGGAGGATGTTATGCTGCATGGCATATGACTCTCACTGCGACTTGTCTGTTCTCTATGTGATGTCAATGTGCGGTTTGTTTACTTGTCCTGCTGCAGGACGCTGACTTACTGTTTACTGTGTTTTGGAGAAAGTCCAAAAAGCTGTCAAGCCCTCTGCTTCTGGCCGTAAATTTGCCTCGCAGTCCAGGGTGGGGTTTCAGAATTGCCTGATAGTTTCTAGGCATGTCAAAATAGAGTCATTAACGTCTGTCTGACAAAGCGTTATTCTCTGATGTGACAGTCGGGACTTTTTAAGGATTGTTGCGCAGAGTCTTCGCTAAAGTTCTAGGTTGAGCTTTTTGTACGACATATGTTTTGTATTCTTTATTAGTAATTTTCAGTAAGGAAGAAGAGAGAATGAGTTTTCTTTAACAGAGATGCCTTTGAAGGTACGTGCTTGTAAAAGGTTTTGGTTTTATTCTGGTCTGTGCGGTCTAATTTCCTGATACTTCAGAGGTAAACAAAGGCTGTAATACTTACATTAGATGCCACACATGCAAATAGAGGAAACACCATCCAACCACTGACAGGTACTGGACCTGTTCCACTGTATCTAACATGTGAATTCGGTGGCACGGGCCAACAAACCACAAAACAACTGGCTTGTTAAACAATAATACTATTCATCCATTCCTTACTGTCAAGGATTTCTAGGCTCATTAACCATCTTAGCAAATGTATGGCTCTTAGAGGGTATTAGCTACAGCTTAACAAAAGCATTGGTACATGTGAGTCACTAATATATGCATCTTGGAACCTTGTGTCTTAACGGCAAGGCTGAGGTAATTTAGGGGAAATATACCTCTTATGAATGATCGAAGAGAAAATGCAGAAAATAGCTTGTGGTTAATGGAGAATGTGATTCTCTTTCTACAGGTGGCCTAAAAGACTACTTTGTCTTGATATTTAAGTAGCTTGAAGGTTGTGTTTGGGAATGGAAATACCTTGAGATAATATTTGGTAATGAGTAGGGGTACCGTAAGGCAAAAAGTAGTTCATATAATTTGGCCCGTTGATTTTTACCTCATTCACAAAAGTTTTGAGTAAGGTCAGGGCAACTTCCTTCAAGTAAACAACTTTAGTTTATTTTTGGACCTAAAGAGCAGGAACTCTGTTCGCCTCCTGTGAGGAATTGATTTGTCATAGCCCCAGAGGGAGCTCTCTACCAATTCAATTACATCCACATTCCTCAAAGTGATCTGATTTCTTGGAGGCTGATTGCTGCCGCAGATAAGCCAGCTTGTGTTTTTTCTTACATCCCCTTAGCGTAGTGCATTATGCTTTGAAACAGGTGGCTTTTGTAGCCTTTGTGTCAACCAACCAAGATCTTTGGGATATTGCCCAGTTGGATGTCACTCCACTGACCCAGTGATCTCTGTTACAACCTCAAGTAACAAGTCAGTCAGCATGGCAAGGGGGTGTCTGAATGTCTATTTTTAAACCTTTGGACAGTTACATAACACCTGCAATATTTCCATGAGTGGAAACTAAGAAACACTATCCCTTAATTAAGGGGAGGTGTCAAATTCTCTCAAAGATTTGTCCAGTGGTTTGATTCTTGCAAGGCACTTCACATGGCGAGCAGCGCTATCAACATTAGTGGTGTTTTTTTATTTTGTCTGTTTGGCCATGATGACTATTTCTGCTTTCAACATCCACCCTGCTGATCCCCTGTTCCCTCCAAACAAATTCTTGTTGCCTCTGCTGGAAACATAAATGCATCACTTCCACTGAACCAGAGCACTTCTCAAAAAACAGAGGGATGTTTGGAACAGTACATGTAAACTGGGCATTTGTTGACTCACTATTGTGTAACATCAAGTTGGTAAGTAGAAAAAATGGAACCAGTTGTGGTGTTCTGGTGGATGAGCTGTCTGAGATTCACACCAGGCAACTACAATTTTCCAGTTTGGACAAACTTCTAGGGATCTTTGTTGCACGTTACCCCCTCTAATGAAGGCCTGATGGCATAAATGTCTTGGTCTTGATATATGGGATTTTAAGACAGCGTAACAATGGTGAGAAAAATGTTTGAAAGTACAAACTTTAAAAGATGAATGTTTGTTTTTTTGTTGCTTCCCAACAGAAACCAAACACTGATTCGTCTTACCTCAGTTTTCCAGTTCGTGTCATGGATGTAAAGAAAACTGGATACAGCAAAGGATGCAGTGCTCCATTCATTCCTATGAAAGTTGCTCAGTGGCTCATGAATCCAGATAAGAAATTACCAGACTTGACTTCCACCTGCAGAGCCTGGTAACTTCTGGTTCAGCCCTCCATTAAATTGAATGAAGATAAAATGATTTAATCGTGCCGCTCTTTTACGCTTTCAGAATGTTATTGGATTGAATGGATCAAATTCTGATAGTGAAACGAGTCATTTTGCAGGGGTTGTGACGCTCAACAAATCAGTAACTGTATAGCCTCTTCTTTCACAATGTAAGCCGATGGGGAAAAGTCTTTTTGGTCCCGTATTCAATCACGTTACAGACGCCATTGTTGTAATTACACGGTTAGACCACTATGTCAAATTGGCTTCAAAGCCTGGCACTATTCCTGGGTGCTTGGTTTGGGTATATCTAGGGATTTCTGGTGCATGTCATTCCCTATAAAACTGCTCCCTGATACAGGCCTGAAGGCCATAAATGTCAAGATCTTAATATATGGGTTTGCAGTGGAAACAATTTCACCTAAGACGTCAAAAGAAGTTGGATTTTAAAAGATGAACATTTTGGTTTTTTTGGTGCCTCCCAACGGAAACCAAACACTGATTCGTCTTATTTCAACTTAGCGGGGGACATAGATTTCAGATGTGTTGTTGTTTTTTAAGCACAGGGTCAGGTCTAGGGAGTTTTAGGGGTCACAGCTCTGTGTTCCTCCCCTGCTCTGCAGAGTGCAGATGGAGCTCACCCCTCCATGTGAGGGCCAGATTCAGAAGGAATGGAGGAGGGTTAGCGCTGCAGAGGCCACAGGGGTTGAGACTGTCAGACAGGCGCTAGTTTGTTTACGTGGCACAGTGGATAAGATTTCAGACCCATGTCAGAGTGGCCAGTCCTATTTACTCGGAGGAGGGAGGAGGATTGTGTCTTTATGTGTGTTGGTGTTTTTACAAGTGTAGATTTAGTGGACAGGGGCAGTTTGTGTGTGTACATATCTGTTAAGCTGTCTGTGCTAATTAGGATCTTTGAGCCATGCAAGCTGTTGTTTGTACCATCTAGAGCTCCTCTACCAACAGACACATTTATATGACACTTACACCCTCCATTACCGGCCTCCGTATATAAGAACCTGTGAGAATAAATCCCTTCTCTATGTTGACATTTACACAGTTAACATACTATTGAGCTCTTAATTGCAGCAATAATAATGTCAGCAGAATGTTATATCAGTGCTGATACAGTAAAGCGAGTATTGATTTAGGCAGAAAAATGATAATTGTCTTTTCCAGCTTTATAGCCATGAGGCATAGCAAATACAGCGTGGTAGAGCAGGAAGAGTTATTCCCTGGGGAGTGACGGTGCTCACTGCGGCTCGCCTCCATTAAAACTGAAGGAGGTAATGTTTAAAACAAAAACTAGTGATTTAGGTGGAGTAGAGAAGGAGAGAGAGTTTGGACAGAAGTGACAGTGCTCGCTGTGGAACAGATGTGGCCTGTGATGGGATTTGACCTCACCCTGAAGCGAGCACCCACAGCACGTCACTCTCCCGGCCTGGGTTGGGAGCAGTTTGTCATTGCTAACGGCTGTATTTTGCTAGCATTGTGTCAAGGCTAAAGCAGCGGGCCCGTCAGTTGTCACCCCCCACCACCCCGGTCTGCACACAAATGTCGTTTGTCAACGCAAACGTTTGTGTCACAGTCGGGGATGAATTGTTTCGTCGCTGTTGTTCTCCTCTCTCCTTGCTAAACGCTGTATCAATACTAGTTAGCTTCTGCCTGGGGTTTGACATTGTTAGCGTTGGTGTCACTCTCGGCTGCTGTGCTTTTTCACGAGTGTCGGATCAATATTGGTTAGCCGTAATTTGTTATTGGTCGCCTTTGTCTTGGTGTCAGGTGACAGAGGTTTGTCATTTAAGATCCTGGCTGTGTGTCTTGCTGTGTGGTGACAGCAGCTGTAGCTAGCTGTGTGATGGATACAGGGAGTGCCAAAATCAGGCTTTTTTATGATGATGATTTATCTATTCATGGCATTCATTACTTTCTCCTGCCTTTTTTTGTTTTTGTAAAGAAGACTCTAGGGTTAATGTTTAAAGGTACACAGCAAGTACACAATGTATCTCATATGTGGACTTTACCCAGATGCAACATTGTATGTTGAAGGTTGAAAGTAGGTTTGAGTGAGTACTTGGCTGAAATTTTTATTTTTTATTTTTTTTACAAGTATTATCAGAGTAACAGTTTGGAATTATCAAGAGTGAGTTGAAAGGAAATTTGGGGGTTTCAGCATCAACAAGTTTATGTGATCTCCAAAGCTGTAAAAAGATCATATACTGGTAGGTATTTAATCATGCTGAACAGTTTCAACAGGCAGCTCACTCCTATAGCCCTCATGCCACAGCTCGTTGATGGACTGTGGTTGGCCAAGGGGGGATGTGCGGTAACAGGAACTTTTCTTTCAAAACACAATCTACTAAGTCGATAGAAAAACAAGACAGATGGCTAATAAGCCCCTCCAATCCAAACCTAGAGAGAAGGACTTTAGATATGCCATTTTTCACAGTCCCCAGGCCCTCAATTGCAGGGTAATGTAGACATTTGGGGTCAGAATTCTAGGTAAATTACCCTCAGCAGCAAAGGGACAGAGAAAACATTGCTGGTTCTGCTGGTTTGTGGCGTCATCACCCAAACCTGAAAGGAATTAAGCATCCCTATGTATGTGTGTGTGTGTGTGTGTGTGTGTGTATTTGTACGGAGGGGGGGTGGCTTAGCATGAAGGAGGGGGGAGCAGAGTTAATATCAATCAGATGTTAAACGCTACAATGAGAGCAGCCGGGTGGGTAATAATCACAGTAGGGCGTTAGTGAGCGGGGTTTGACCCTAACTGACCTGGGACCAGTCCGTATCCCTCCCTCTGGGGCCAGCATCAATCCAGCAAAGCTCCTGAGGCCCTGGTGGATAGCAAGAGGGGATTTGGCTTTTATTATCTCACGTGAGTCAACGGAGAGGAGCTGTCGGCTTCATAGCTGGGGCAGCACTCGTCAGGATCCAGTACAGCGTGATACTCATGAAGTATAAAAAACTTGATCTCTTCAAAAGATTAAGTTGATTATTTTGGAAACCACCCTGTTTTCAGATTGATGACTGTTAACTTTTGGAAATTTGCCACAAGTTTTGAATCATTTCATTGACCCAGAGCGATAAAACAAGATCTAAAAGGCCATAAACCTTCAGTTTTAGTGAAAACAAAAGTTGGGGTTATAAGGTATTTTTCAGACACATACATTTGCCTCAACCATCTCTGTTTGACTACATCCATATTTTTTGTATACAATGTATGATGACGTTAACATTATATATTATACAATATACAACAGTGTTTTTTGATGACAATAGGGTGCTGCAGGGATGATGTATTTTTGCAGTTAGCATCGCCCTGGTTCCTTCTGCGAAAGACAATGGGATTATTGCAGAAAGTAAGGTCTATGGTGAACAAAGGTTTATGTCATAAATGAAAGTCAGTTTTAGGATTTTTTTAAGCGTAATGCGATCGCCAGAAGTAAAAAGCTAACGTTAGGCTATAAACAAACTAGCACGGTTGCATGACTTCAGTGTCAGTGTCACATTTCCCAGCCATGAGGATAAAGTCAAGTCAAATCAAATGTATTCATAGAGCACAGGTGTCGACCAAAGTGCTTTACAGAAATGTAAAATACAAGCAAATAGTTGTAAATGTGTATTGTTTGGAACTTCATTATTCCTAGACAAACATGGATGGGTAGGAGTAGGGTGTATGAATGTGCTACTGTATAACTAGGGTTGACGGTGAGATAAAGGGGACTGGGACTGGCTAGATGGGAATGAGTGATGTATTACAACATAGAACATATAAAGCAGTAAATAAATCCAAATTAGTGGTTTTATTGTCTTGAAATTGGCCTACTGTTGGGTACTCAGGGCAGCTCTAATGGGTGCCTGAAATCTACAGTATCTCACAAATGAGATTTGTGAGATGACTTAGTTATGGTGTGTTTAGCCTGCGTGCCCCTGGAGAATCCAGTTTAAATTGTGTAAGTAGGGCTGTGTATTGGCGAGAATCCGGTGATACGTTGCGTATCACGATATAAGGGTTACGATTCAATACATTGTGATGTGTTGCGGTACTGTAACTGTCCGATATATTGCAACTTTAAAAAAAGAAATATAATTTTAGGGAAACTGTCATATTATAAAGAACACACCACCATATGCTTAAATTGTTTTTGTGCAACCAGAACAGTGGTATCTGCATTTGTATTTGTCACAATCTCTGTAACATACAACGTTGTAGCCCTCAGTTTATGCTTGAAAGGTCTAGTAACATTTAGGAGGATCTATTGGCAGAAATTCCATGTTTCTACAGTAGCCCAGAACCAAAAAAACGTATTGTAGACTCTAAACTCAAGACTCTTACTGTTTTTTGCGAGTTTGGCAGCCACTGCACACACTTAGACAAGCTGAGCTGTATCCAAATGCAACTGCAACTTCACCACTAGATACCACTAAATCCTACACACTGGTCCTTTAATACTGCTGTTGGGGATTTAAATGCAAAAATATATAGTGTTTTTGAAAATTGACATAATATTACAACAAAAATATCGCAATATGATATTTTTCAGTCTTTCCTTAACCCTTATTTGTAAGAGAACCTCCCATTGTGCTTGTTTATACTGCAAAAGTCCATATACATCTGCAGACATTTAAGCTGACACTCCGAGGGGGACAGACATTCACTGATCTCCATACATAAAACAAAGCTGATGCAAATTTTTTCTTAAAACAAGCTCTTGAAACAATATTGGTTCCTTTTAAACAAGTAATTCATTATTTTTGCAAAACAAGATGTAAAGGCCAAATACAAGTGTATGTGATGATGGACATTTCTTGAAGTGTTGTCGAGCACATTCCTTCTTATTCTCAGTAGCCTGCCCTGCCTAGGTCCTGCTTCATTTCCTTCATATTTTTATGTGTATGTGTCTCTCCGGCAGTGCTGCAGCCCTAACATTGGCTCACTTCCAGGATAAGATGTCATCCAGACACTAAAATAAAATGTTGCTCTGATAGATCTCAAATCAAGCTTCAAATCATGGCTTCCTTCAAATATTCCAAGGTAGCTTCATTTGCTGCACCCCAAATCTTGGTCACCAGCTCCTCTGTCCCTGTCTCCTCTGATGCATGGCGTTTAATTTCCTGGTTAGGGGCTGAGATGTTTTTTGAGGGGGGGGGATCTGACTTTAGAAGTGGCTGACGCCCATCTCAGGCATTCCAGGAGGTCCAGATAGAGGGATGGGATGGAGAAATATATGAAGAGATGGGGGGGAAGGGGATCATGGGAAGGGCGGAGCGGGTTTCTTACAGTCTTAAGGAGGGAGGGTTTGTAATATACAGTACCAAAACACTGGCCAGAAACTTGCCCTCAGATGCACTTTATTCTCTTCAGCATGAGGAAAACACTGAGCTTAAAAACACTCAGGCTTTGTGTATCACTCCCAGATGAGCGGGCTCAGACTTTGGACCCAGTGCTAAGTCTGCCTCTTTATATTTTGTGCTCAGTAGGTGTGATGAAGGTGTGCTTTGCCATACTGTTGCTTCTGCATGCTGTCAAACTGAATAATCTCTCTCTGCTTCTCTCCTTCCTTCTCTTCGTCTGCAGTATGGATGTACGGCTTTACAGACAGCCCGAGGAAAGAGGCCTCAGGTAGCCCTGTGTGTCTGTGTCAACATGTTGAATATGCATGCACTAACTGTGCTCGTGTGAGAGCGAAGCGACGTGCCAGCTGCATCCTTTTTAGGTTGCTCAGTTTATTTCTTTTCACACTTAAGCTTTCTCTCGACATCTGCTTCGCATGCGCTGTCATCTTCCCCTGCTTCCACCCATCTGCTCTTCTTCACCCTCTCTTTCTCTGCTGTCTGTCCATCCATCTCCGCAGACCTGGGTTGCCAACGCAACAGCTGGGCGCAGTGCCAGAGGCCCTGAGCATGGACATTAGGTCTGCATGTGGCCAAGCATCTCAGACTGAAATGAGGTGTCAAGTCTGGTTCCTTACGTTTGTCTACTACATGGCTTAAGATCACTGCCCGTGACCTCATTCCACTGTGGGTGTACTAGGAATGATGAGTCGAGAGAGAAGTGAAATCAAAATTGTCTGCACTGTAAATAGTCATACCGGAAAAGAACATTTTCCTCAACACAAATGCACATTCTGACACAAAAACAATCACAGATTTGCCCATCTGGTGAACATTTAGCCAATATTCTCAGAGACATTTAACTGTAATTGAGGCATTGCTGGAGAAACACACATACATGTTATTTCCTTCCATTAGAACTGTCAGTGTATCATTACGAGTTAGGAACAACAAAGACAAACCCCCCTTTGAACAGACTCAGTCAAACAAAAAATGACCGTAAAGTGCAGAACTTTGAGAAAGCCGCTCTACCCTAATTTAATCAAGAAATCATGTGCAATTAAAGTATTGGAATATTGAAGGCAGAGTATAACAGGTCTTCAGGATTCATGCTACTTCTCAACAAGGCGTGGTTGCCATTACAACAGCATAAAGCTTTTAAATAGCTGGATCTGCGCTGCTTTATTACCTCAGGCTGACTTTGATTGCTCCCTGCACATAGGCTGCTTAACGTTCTCCGCAATATGTTCCTTTTCTTTATTTTGCCTCCTGGGAGAAAGCTAAAGAATGACGGAGATGAATGCCCGGCCTCGCCCAGTGGGGAAGTAAGGTTACGAGCAATCCCTGGTGATCCCTGCCTGTTTACACGAGTAACAACTTGTGGAGATGCTTAATTATTTTAAGCACTGCGCAAAAGCTTTATACCACTTTTAATTCTTCCAGGCTGCTTAAATGCATGAGGGCACTGCAACCTGTTTCATTCTCCTAAAGATGTTACAAGACCACTGTGAAGATATGGTATTTAGATATTAGCTGCACAGTAAACACGATATTTAATGTTAGTGACGATTGGTTCTAAGCTAGTGAGATCTACTCTTAGATCTTTTAGGACAGTGTTGTCCAACGTGCAGGATATGCACAGCTTAACGCTTACAATACAACTCATGTTCAAGGTCTTATCCCATTTACAAATTGACAAAGAGGCTGACAGCAGAGAATCCAGCGTTCAGATGCAGTCGTAAGTGGGAAGATGGAGAGATTTGCTGACAACGTGTGATATAACTTTTCTTCTTAGCCGCAGTAATTAGCCAGAGCTCATCAGAGACTGATGCCTGTATTGTGTCACTGCTGGTGCTGACGCGCCTGTTCCCTTTATGTATGATGTTCGGTATCTTTTTTTAATGTTACACGTTTCATCTCCCATCTCTTGTTGCCAAAATGTGTCTGTTTAAGTCTGATAGGCATCAGCTGGTAGCCTAATTCTAGCAAGCCAACCACTAAACACACTCAGCAGGATCTCTGGCTGTCATCTGCATGTTTTCTATACATGTGATCCAGTTTTAGTTTCCACCAAAACAACTTGCAAAATGCTTCTTCTTCTACACCTGCTGTGGCAAATGGAGGTCCAACGTGTTTTAAAAGGCACTACAGGTCACCTGTGCTATTGGAGTTGTTCCTTTCAATAGCATTTCAGACAAGCATTGGTGCTGTCATAAAGGACAATTTAGGACAATACTGCACTGCAGGGTTTACATTATATGTAAAAAAAAAAAATAACACTTTCAGCCCAACAACCAGCGATTGTAGACATATTCACACCTCATTCTTTGGCTTAGTGGGAGTACTGTGCTCCTCATGTGTTCTTTGGAGGCAGACCAATAAATAAGCAAAATAAAACGACAACAACAATCGACCAAAAAAAACAATCGGTGATCGACTCTAACCCTAACCAATCACAGATAGCCGATATATTCGTCCAATCGCCCAACCCTAATTTACATTCAGTGTCATCATTTGGTGCCATAAGTTGGTGAACAGCTATGACCAGGGTTCACATCCTCAGTCACACCAACATTAGTGCTAGCTTTGTTAAAGGGGTATTCCAACATGATTTGCTTTTTTGCTTTCTTTCTGAGAGTTAGATGAGAAGACTTGACCAATTGGTGGATTCAGGACACGGTTAAAGTGTAAGCAAAGAAAACTGCTAGCCTGGGCCTATCCAAAGTTAAAAATATGCTATATAATGAAAACTATCCCTCGATGAACAGAAGTTTGCCCAGCACATCTGTACACCGTCACCACCTGTAGTTCAGGTTGCCAGGCATGATGGCTCCAAACTCCACGAGTCTTGTTTGGCAGGAAGTAGCTCCAGCATTTCTGTTTGAGCCTCAACATGTTCATTCCTGAGCTTTAGAGGTGCTTGTAGGAATGTTTGTTTTCTCTTGCTTTTTTTACTTACTTGCAAAAAGAACGCAAGTAAAATGTTAAACTATTCCTTTAACTTGACACTAAATTCCAGTTAGTACGTTAATTGAGTTAGTGAATTACACATAGTACCTTTCTGACACTATCAATTGATCCTGGTACTATTTTGTAGTGTTCACTACAACAGTTATTTTCCCTTTTTCAGACCCAGCTATTTTGTCATCTAGTCCCCCCACAAATTGGTGAACAATGTATGACGTACGTAGTGCGACATTTCGCCATCTAGTTCACATTGAAGTCTCTGCTTTTAATTTCTTGTAGCAAGAAAAGAAAGCCTTAGCTGTTACCCACAGTTATATCTTTAAAACTTCAGAAAAGTTTTGCATTTGTGATGAAGCAGGGTTCAGGCTTAAAGTGGGTGTGAAGTTGCTTGTTAACATTGTTGATAATGTTGCCCCTAACCATAACCATCTTTTAATTGCCTAACCTTAATCATACTTTAACTTACACTTAACTTATTCTTTAACTGCAGCTGTCATGCACTAATGTTGAATGATTCACTTTAATAAATGTCTTTAAATGTTGAGAAACGTCATCAGTACATCTGTTGGGACGCATCTGATGATTTGTTACGATCAGCTCTTGGCCACCTCATTTGAGTCATGTTTGGAGTCAGGTCACTGTTTGAACAAATTGTTGGACAGATATGAGTGCAGTCTTTTTGCTTTAAATCTTGTTTTTTTGGCCACACAAGATCCATTTATTTGTCCTTGCTGTATCAGTGTCACTGATACAGCTTGTGAAGCATAATCCGCTGAAAGGTCCCTTTGAATCAGTGTGTGTCATCTCTCTGTGGCCAAACAAGCAAATAGGCATGTGTGCAACTCAGATCAGAGTCTCACCACGTGAAGTCGGTAAACGAAATCACTGCTGGCACTGAAAAGGTTAAACATCAGAGAGGAGAGAGAGAAAACAGAGCAGCCTAACCCCAACTGAAATGCTTTCTTCTTTTGTTTCACATAAACATGGACCCAGCCTCCTTCCCTGTTTCTCTCTCTCTCCTTCTCTACTCCACTCATATGTTTCTATTTAAGGCCAGCAGTGCCGACTACCATGATTGGTGTGTTCACCCCCCCTCCCGACTCGCTGTCCAACGGCTGGCTCCCAAAGGCAGTGGAGGGGAGGCCTTTCCCCTCAACCACACTGTTGATTTTCCACAGGGAAACTTCACCATTCTTCCACTCATTCGCTCCCCAGTCTTCCCCTCCAACCACTAGCAGCTCCTCTGTTTCTCCTTCTTCTTTTGACTTCTCAGCTTCTTCCCTTTTGGATCTTAGAGTTTGGTTCAGGTCATGGCTCCACTTTAGGCACGAGATGCAGCCCCCTCAAACATTTCCATCCGGTTCCCTCTTTTTGTTTTGATTCCTTCCGATGCTCCTCAGTCCTTCACTGTGGGCTGGGGGGTCCGTCTCAGCTATATGGCCAGACGTTTGGGACTATGCAACCAAGGCGTGAGCTTGTGTTCTGATTGGTCAGGGCAGGAGGGAGCGGGGGTTGGCCGATGGCGGCATACCGGGTGCACAGCGGCGTAGTTGGTTGCAGCGGTCGTTCGCGGGGCGCCACGGCAGGCAGGTGGTTGACAGCCTGTTTCTTCCCCTCAGGGATTGACAGCTCGGAGCCCATGGTGTTGGAGCAGTACGTGGCCGTGGCCAACTACGAGAGGCAGGAGAACTCGGAGATCAGCCTCAAGGCCGGCGAGACGGTGGACGTGATTGAGAAGAGCGAAAGTGGTGAGTGGATTCTTGCATTTTTGTGTGTTTGTTAAACATATATTGTGTGAAAGGTAGATTCAAATGTGGCTTTGTTTGAAGCTGACACGCTCAGAGAACTGCCTGACATTTGGTTTGTTTCTTCCTGTTTGTATCTCCCTCTCTCTGAGTACACATTAGTAGCATAAACACACTCCTGACATACACAGAGCGGCATGCTCACTCAGCACATCTCCCCCTCTTCCTTCTCTTGATTTAACTCCCTCCTTTGTCCGTAAGGGTCCCCTACTCCAGCCTCCCTCTGCTCTCCCTCAGTCTCTTCCAATCTCCTGATCTCCTAGCTGGGGCTTGGCACCACCTGGAGGTGCTGTTTGGCTGGCAGCAGTCAGTGTGTGTGGGGGAAGAGTGTGGCAGAAAGTCAGTGTTATGGTTGGGGGCCAGTCTCTTGCAATAAGAATGTCAAGTAAAGGTGAGACTTGAGATGTTTAATCGGTTGCTTTCTATTTTGGAGGCTGTTAGAGGTGTCATGTTAACAGTAGTGTACTAGTGCCTCAGTGAACAGTTACAGTATTTGACTAACAGTGCTGATGAGTCTGTTAGTCTGAGTCAGTCAGTGTTTGTATCGGGAAGAGATGCAGCGATTCACTTTTCACCTTGCCTCCCCTCCTGTGGAAAGTCTGTTTAGCAATCCCAGAGCTGGATCTCATTTTCCATGCAAGCAGCCACTGACAGCCAGCAGCTTGCACAACTCAAGAGAACTGAGCAGAAAGCTTGGCACCAATAATCCCGTCATTCTCTCCGCTCTTATCTATACACTGACTACATGTGTGAATTAATTCCCTTTGAGCTATCTTGCTCGCACATCTTTGAGCGATTATGTTCCTTAACAAGTCCGTTTTAGTGTTGAACCAGCTTGTCATTTCGTAGTCTCTGTGTATGATTCACATCACATTTGGTGCATTTCCAATTTGTCCCCCCTGTCAGCATAAATGAGATAGTCGTTAAATGTTTCGACAGAGTGAAGAAGTTGCGTGGGAAATTATTTCTTTTGTGATGTGGCTTTCGGGTCAAACCCTTACGCGAGGAAGTTGATGTCTTCTCAAGATTGACTCCGAGGACGTGGATGTCTTAATTTCCGTCTCTCCCCTCAGCTTTGTTTGTGAGGTTTTGAAATGTCAAGTGTTCCTGTTAACTCTTGACTTAAGAGGGGGATTAGTTTCTCTCATGCAACTTTGATTACCAGAAACTCTTTGGAGTTAGGTACATGGATCAGTGAGTTTTGTTTAACATTCATAAGTGTGCCTTAGCCACACAGCACTTTTCTTTGGCGAGCCCATGTCTGAATATCTGGCCTGACAGCATCTGCTCACCAGACCAATTTAAAAGCTCCGTTCTCCGTGCTCCATAACGTTTGAACATCGATTGAAGCACTTGCAGCAATATGAGCAACTCCTGAACCCAGAGGAATCCAAGAGCTGGATATGTGTGCTTTCGTCATTTACTGGGCCAAAGAAGTGGAGCAACAGCCATGATGATGATGGTGATGATGACATCACTCGGAGGCTATGCCAAGACAAACACATCTGAGCGCTCATATAGTATCCCACAACCCCCTTCCTGCTTTCAAGGTTTTACTGCAGCCTCCTGGTCTCTCGAGCAAGGCTGAAATCCATATTTTGCCTACTTTTCTCTTCAAATACTGATTTTTTTTTCCCCGCTTCACATATTTAGCACAGATGGTATCATGCATTAATATGCTGCTCCTCCTTCCAACGCAGAATATTTCAAGCAGTTTTTAAGTGTCTGCAGGCTTGACCTGCTATAATTATGGGTTCAACTCCAGAGTCGGATGTTGTTGTTTTGCCCTGTGAGAAGTTATTGCCCTTGCAAGTCTAGACCGAGCTGTTTCACTGTGTCGAGAAGACCCTTTGTCATTGTGAAAACTGGTTGAATCACAAGTTGTGTGTGAGAAGGGGGTGTAGTGTGTATGTGGATGTGTTTGCATGGGTGGTTATGCCTCTGTTTGTGTAAAATCTGTGTCTATGTATCCTTGCCTGTCCTATTCAGTAAAGTGTGATTTATGAAGCACCAAGGGAGTGGGGGGTGGACAGGCCGGAATCGTCCCTGAGAGAGGAGTAGAGGCCTTGTCTGGGCCACTGTCCTGGTTTTCTCCCTCTGGTTCCTCCTCGGACATGGGAACCGTAGAGCGTCTGGAGAGAGGAATGTCCCAGCTGGAGAAAATAAATCTGCATATGTGACCAGTTAAATTATATGGTGTGTTGGACTAAAAGGAGGCAGTGATGGGAAGGAGACAGAGAGGAGAGGTCAGTGTGTTTTAAAGCCACCGACCTGTGTCAGATAGTACTTGGAATAGCAGATTTGGCAAATGGAGCAGTACAATTAGTAAAAGGTTGTTACAAGTTTTGAAATGAAAATGTATTTTGTTTTCTGTGATTGACAATTTACCTGATACAATCCAGATTGTCCTATTATAGTCAATCTTATGCATAATGTAAAACAAGCAATTATTTGCAGATAAACAAGACAAGAGTCAACAGCCATGCTAACAGCTCTGTGAAGCTATACTCACACAGCAGTCATTAGCTATATGCTAACATTAGCATATTAACATAAACTAGCTAAGCAGGCATGATATTCATTATAATGTTAGCATGCTAACATATGCTAATTAGTGCTTAACACAAAGTACAGTTGAGGCTGAAAAAAGGTAATCAGTTTTGCAATCAGTCATTAAACAATGTATTGGACAAATTTAAATTTAGCCCAGATGATGGTGCTAGAGGGAAAGTCAGAGGCTTACCAAAGTAATTGGGATTTATCCTCCGGGGTGCCATTGGTATCTGTTTTAAATTTCATGGCAATCTATAAAGTATATTTTATGATATTTCAGTCTGCACCAAAGTGGTCAACTGACTGACAGACAGACAATTTCATCTCTAGAGCCTGCTAAAGCATGACTAGAAATATGACTGCCTGCCAAGTAGAAGTCCGCACTTTGGCTGAATTATACATTGATCTATTTGGATCAGGCCTGACTAACCTCAGATCCCTTTCGGATCAGGTCTCTTTTCTTTCAATCAAAAGTTTGTTCTGGATTAAGACCTCTACTGCTAGGTTTTACTAATCTTGCAAGGAAAGTGAGCATGCCGAGTAAAGTTTTGTTGATGCTAGCACTGAACACGGTGGCCTGCGCCTGTTGCGTGAGAGGCATCCATTATCAACGTGCTATCCGTTGCAGTATTTTCTCTGAAATGCCAACAAACAAAACATTTTGTGAAAAAGCACAAATTAGTAAGCATGCTATGGTAAGATCGCCATAGACCAAACATGGCTGCACACTCTGCTCTACCTCTCCTCAATGGCAAGAAAGAATTGTAATTAATTGTAAACGCAAATTGGCGAGCTTTTTAAAATGATGAATTGAAATATGAATTCACAACTTTACTTTTTAATTTAGTTGCTTTTGTCAGTATTTGGAACTTTTGTATTCACAACAAGTGAGAGAAAGCATGCCCCATGTGCGCAATGGGCGCCTAGTCACAAAAGTTGGGAAGTGGGGACTGGTGGCGCGAAGCTAGAAACGTGATGATGTAATTTGTGGCGTGCACATCCTAGGAATGCATAACCTTATTTGTTGGCTTATTAAGTGCCAAATGTACATTTAATTGTAAAGCTCCGGCTTGAAGTTCCAGTCTAGCAGGGGACCTCTTTATGTAAACTCTCCCTTTCTCCGTTCATTTTCTGTTAGCTCTCTACTGTACAACAAATACTTGATGTTGTGTAGAACACATGGCCTTGTGAACTGTAATCCCACAGATGTTTTCTTCCCTACTTTCTGATATCATCTCAGAGATTGAATTGTAATTCTAAACGACTAGCCTTCTACTCTGTGGCCACAGTGACAGGGGGGAATATATGTGGGGAAAAATACCCTTTTTTTTCCTGTTTCATCAGCCGAGACTAATGGATCTGCCAGGAGGACCTTGACGCTAAACTGCAAACAGGATCCTTTGGGTCAGTATACCGCCCAAGCCACAACGCCAGCCGGAGAAGCCATTTGCCCAAATATCTTCGCCATCCTTGCTGCCAAATTTCAGGGGCATTTTGTCACAGTTGATTTAAAGAGATTTGACAGATTTGCTTACCTCTTTCTGAACGTGACTCTACACCTCACAACCTCCTGTCATGTTTCCAGATAATACTAATCCTCTGTTTACGTCAAAGGTGGCTATGGTATGTATGGAAACATTAAAGACAAGTATATGGCATTGCTTGTCAGCCAGTACAATGCTATATGAGGGAAAATGCATGCCAGGAGTTTTGGCAACATTTTCCCACCACACCTATCCCAGTCCCCAGGAGATCTGGTGAGGCTGGCAGCACTCAGTCTAACCTATAACGCTTTTCCAAAGGTTTGTCCTCAATGCTTTGCTTGGTCTGGCTCGAGACTATTCCCTGTGCAGATCAAGTTCATGAGGGGAAAGCCTTGAGCTAAAATGTAGTATCCCAACCTCATATTGCATTAGGTATTAGGTAATTTGCATTACAAGCTCTAGTTAGCCTAGGGTAAGCCTTACCTTAAGGGCTATTAAATAATTACAATATTTTTGTGGTGCAGTGGCTCAAAGTGTCAAAGAAATTCACTGAATTAAAGAGAATTGATGAGCTCAGTTTTCCTTTAATTACCAATATGTTTATTGGCTCTCGGCACTACCCCTTGTGTTAAGAAACTGTGATCCGGAAGCTTACACAATGATCCACCTGATATTTGAGGCAAAGCAGTTCATTATTATGGCCCTGATCATGATAATTTACTAACAATGCCCATCATAAATCAGCAACCCAAACAAGATGCAACATATTTAATTGACATTTATAAAATGGAAAGAAGGGATCACTAATCTATTAATCAACTAATAGTTTCAGAAGTGCACCAATAGCCCTGTTGAGAATACAAAAAAAGCTATAATAAATATAATTATGTTGCCTAAAGATATGAA